TGTTCAAGTCCTGCAATAATTATGTTTAAATATCAAGCTGTACTGCACTTGTTTGTTTTTAAAGGGGAAAATGCTAAAGGTTTAATATAATTTTCAGAATATATAACATGCTATTTCAGTAGGTTACTATTCAAAACAAAATATCTGCAGCCCTACTCTGCTGAGGGTAACCAAGGTTCAGGAATAAGGCTGTTGTGCCTTTCAGTTTTGTTCCATGGGTTTGCTGGTTTGTCCCATCTGTTACCAATGATCACACAGAGCTAGGATCACCCATTACAGCTGTGTTGCAGGATGCTCAGAGAAGAGAGCTGGTGGGACAGACAGTCTTCCTGGGGAAACAGTTTTGGGTGTAGTAGAGCTGCCATCTTCAGTATACAGTAAATAAAAATTTATAATTTGCTACTATGGGAGTGATGGGTATCTTTTGGGAGAGGATGGGAGTGCAGAGCCTCTGACAGAGTCTGGTCTGGTTTGACCCTTTGGGAATGTCTGAGATCTACATGGTACCTCAATCTTTTCCTGCAGTTGGTAGGAATTCATGGCTCTACAAATATCTTGTAAAGCTTAGGCTCCAAAGCATCATAATCATGGCTTGATTATGTTCCCTGCCCCCCTTCCTCTTAACTGTTAGGAGTAAGGACAAGATAAAGCCAGAGGCAATTTTTTTTTTTTTTACCCTCTCCATTGAGATTTAGCTCCAGCTCCTTAGGAGCTGCAGGAACTGTGCCTAACTGTATTGTGCACAGTTGTCAGTGCTTTGTAGAAGGGAGCAAAAGCCATGGTTGCCTTTGCACTGCTCAGTAGATATTGCTGTTTTGTGCACAGAACACCTGTTGAAATGGTCCCAGTCTCATCAGTCATCATTGCAGGAGAGCTGGTCTGCTTTGCAGGTTTTGGATAGCCCAGCCTGGCTGTTCTGTCACTGTCTCAACACCCTGTGCTTCTTGATCTGAAGAGCCCAGGGGGAAGATCTGGGCAGTTGGCTTAGCAACACAGAGGCTCCTTCTGTCTTCAGCGACATGCAAAGCAGCCTTAAGGGAGAGTCAAATCCTATTGACAAGTTGTCTGTGTTAATACTCTCTGGAAAGCCAAAGACATCTGTCATATTGATACAATTTGCTTGAGTGGGATGAGTCTGAACATGCTGAAGAAAGCAGCAGCTGTAGTAGGAAATATGTTACGTGTTGCTAAAAGTGAATGGTAAAGAAATGGTCAATAGAAATCTACCTATCTATAACAATATATTATGTGTATGATATTTACATATCAAGCTTGTAAAGTATTTTTTGTTAACAGGCAGTAAATAATAGAGGTGGAACTCATTTTCCTTCTTTTCTTCTTTCCTACTGTACACCTTTGAAACTTGTTCCCTGCTGGGTTTCGTGTCTGTGTATCCATAATAACATTCCTAGTGAGTGGCCAAACTCTGACAGCGCTACAGGTTTCCCCGTGAAAGAGTTCATTAAATGCCAGCCAGTAATCCGGTGGCATTTGTTAGCATAATGCTGTAAAGCCAATCTGTTTCCCTTCCTTCTTGCTCTTTTCCTTTCAAAAGAAATATATCATTCTCAGCAACTTCAAGAAAAAACTCAGCATTAACACTGATGGATTATTTCCATTAAGCAAAAAAAAATAGAAGAGCCGTATTCATTGACAAACTCTGAATTAGCTGTGTCACCTGGTGTTAAAGAAACATGGATAATTACAGATTATATTGCCAGTTAAAATAAATTATAGTCATTTTGCAAAGAATCTGGAGCGTAATGGCAATCTAGATGCTATTGGAATCTGGCAAAAGGTTGGTTTTGTGAGGTAGTTATGTATTTTAGCCTAGTATATTCCTTTTAATGAAATGCATACTGTCTCCCACAGTTCTTGACAGCACAACCCAAGCAGCTGTTGAAAATCTACCTTGAGATAAACATCACGTGTCAGGCCAGCTCCTCCCACCATTACCACTCCAACCCAAAGCCACTTGGCACAGCACACAAGTTGGCCAGATCTGGTTAGGGTGGGACTTCCCAGCAAGGCCAGGGCAGCTAGGAGGTGAACATCGCTGTGCAAGCCCTGCCAGCAGCCTGCAGTAGGAACCTGGCTGCAGGCTAGGAGGTCCCCCGGGGAAGATGTCAGCACTTCGCCTTTATCTGGCTGGAGGAGTTTATCTACCATAGTTGCAGTTACCCTGATGTGCAGTGAGATAAGGACAAGGACTGCAGGAGGGTGGTTTAGGGACCACATAGTTTTGGTGGTAACGATAAGTGCACCTGGTTGAGCACAGAGTATAACTAGACATTTCTAAGAGTACAATAGATCTGATAAGCATGCTGCCTTCCCCAAATGATAATAGAGCCACTCTGCTCCCTTTCTAAGTGCAGTCATGTTTTGTTACTTCAGGCAGTGCCAAAACGCCATGGTAGGTGCTAATCAAAACTGTACATAAAATCAAATGTATGGAAGGAAGAGTGCAATAAAAATGTTTTCCCAAAACATACAAAGTCTGAAGCTGTAAAGTGTTTCTCTTTTGTCAAGTTGGGAATTGCTTATTGCAGTCTCAAAGCATTATTAAGGGGCTCAGTGAGGTTGTTACTTAAGCTGTGGTATAGGGAGTTAAAGAAGTTGCTTAGAAAGTACTGTTACTTACTTGCATTAGCTGCAAGAGCTGTTTTGTGTCCCACAACTCGTATTCATTCTATCATTACCGAAATATCGATGTATACAGAACTTTTGGTGAAGCCAGTCCTCAAGAGTTTCTGCTCCTGAAGGGCAAGGATTAGCCAGTTCTCCAAAAGATGTGCACAAAGCCAATAGCAACCGGTCCTTTCTTTCATCAGGAGCTGGCAAAATAGAAATCAATACCTGATTGATCATTTGCTGTGGCCATGAAAGGTTTTCACATAACAGTGTTATTTTAAATTCAAAGGTTTGCTTCTAATCCATTTTATTACATCCCTGAAATCACTGGCCCCTGTTTCCAGTAGTAGTAAAGTTTATGGTTATTTTACCAATGACTCTTCAAAGTGGACTCTTCTTGCTGCCTTCCTGTAACGTACCGTGAATGACCTTTTATTTCTTAGCTACAGTGGTGTCAAAGACTGAGCTGAAAGCCATATGATTCATCTGGAACCATACTATTATTGTATAAATGAAGGCTAATCCTCCAATTTCTTAGAGCACATTCTCTTTGCAGTGGGTGTGATATAACTGTGCCCCTGGGAAATATCTTTGTGCATTAATGAATTATGGGGATTATTGACTCGTGTCTCATGCAATTCATAACTTCATTAAAGTAAATGTTAGAGTGTGCATGTGCATGCACACAGCTGCACGCAGATAGTCTTCAGCTGTTGTCCTAAGGTCTCTTTGCACTTGTGCAGTGTTTAAATGGTGTTCTTTTACCTATGTATCAACCTCTTTGCACCCTCAGAGGCTGCAGTTGAGAATGTGGATTACCTTTGTGTGTATGACACATGCTCTTACACACGTAGGGGTAAGCATATCCAATAGGTCTGTATTTTCTGAGCGATTGTAGGAAACATTGTTGCATTTCTTTAGCAATTTCGTGAAGTGTTGTCTATGAAGACAATTTAAAACAAAGATTTGAAATGATTGAGGTTTTGCAGAACTTTTATCATAATCATAAATCATGTGGGATTTTTTTACAAACTGTTACCATATGGAAGCTTGACAGCAATCAGCTATAGCCTTTAGAATCATAGAATCATCAAGGTTGCAGGAGAAATCTAAGATCATCAAGTCCAACCATTAACCTGCCACTCTGCTGTAACTCCTAAACCATATCCTCCAGCACCAGAGCCAGATGCTTCTTAAACACTTCTGGGGATGGTGATTCTACCACCTCCCTGGGCAACCTATTCCAGCGTATGACTACCTTAACATTGAAAAAATGTTTCCTGACGTCTAATCTGAATCTCTCCTGTCTCAGCTTATGACTGTTCCCTCTAGTCCTCTCCCTGCAGGCATGGCTGAAGAGGTCATCCCCCACCTGACCATGAGGTTACCTCTGAGCTGCCTCTTCCCAGGACTAAACAAACACAATTCCTTCAGCCATTCCTCATATTACATCTATTCTAGACCTTTTATGAGCCTCATTACCCTTCACTAGACTCGCTCCAAGGCCTCAATGTCCTTTTTAAATTGAGGGGCCCAAAACTGAACACAATACTTGAGGTATGGCCTCACCAATGCTGAGTACAGGGGGATGATCACTTCCCTAGTCCTGCTGCCCACAGTATTCTTGACACAGGCCAAGATGCCATTGGCCTTCGTGGCTACCTGGGCACACTGTTGACTCATATTGAGCTGACTGTTCGCCAGCACTCCCAAGTCCCTTTGTGATGAACAGCTCTTGAGCCACTCTTCTCCCAGCCTGTAGAGCTGCATGGGGTTGTTGTGTCCCAAGTGCAGGACCAGCCCTTCCCCTTATTGAACCTCATGCAGTTGTCCTCAGCCCAGAAGGAGAGATGCTCCATCCCTCTAATCATCTTCGTGGCTTCCTTTGGATTCGCTCCAACAGGTTCATGTCCTTCCTGTTCTGAGGACCTCAGAGCTGGACATGGTTCTCCAAATGTGGTCTCACGAGAGCAGAGTAGATAGGAAGGAAACTTACACATCCAGTTTACTATAGTTCTGGTTTGTTATTCATTTATATAGACATAGGATAGAGCATCTTCGGAAATGCAGTACAAAGGTCTCAATCCCTTATCCGTTTGTCTGCCACTGACTCAGTAGAAAGTTTGGGGTGTGATCCTACCCCAAAATTGTTAAACTGAGTTTTGCAATTATTATTTTAATGTTATATTTGTCAATATAGTATTGTAAATATAAGGCAGAGTTGCACTATATTGTGTCATGATTGTGTGTACGTGTGTGCATGTGCACATAAACATACATGGGAGCTGTGGGGAAAATATTCAGGGTGAGACAAAGCAACTCCAGAATTAACTTCAGAAACTGGTGATTTTTAAAAATTTTTGTTTTTATTTCTGCTTAGATGGACAAAACCAATTTTGAGAAAGGGTTACAGACGACGTTTGGAGCTGTCAGATATTTATCAAGTCCCTTCTGCAGATTCCGCTGATAATCTTTCTGAAAAACTGGAAAGGTATGAAAGATTAATGAAATTCCTTTGTTTCACGAATCACACTGCAATTTTCATTAAAAAGCTGTTGGATGAAATGCTTAAATAGCTTTGGGTGCAAGCTGGTTGCACACAGTTGTACTTTGAAGATGGCTGGGATCCCTGGTGCAGATGTTGGTGTTTCAGGGCAGCTCACATCTGCACTGTTGTGCCAATCCAATTAAACTTAATTGCAGTGTGGTATAAGTATTCAAAACTGGTGGGATGTATTGAGAACATTGATATGCTTGATGCATTTTCACAGTTTATAAATGGAATATCCTGGTGATTTAATGTTCTCTTGAAAAACTGAGGAAAGAGCTGGGGAAATTCTCAGGAGTGCTTTAATCTGTGAGTTGAATTTGGACTACACATATGCTCTCTGTATGCAGCATTGATTCTGATCAGCAATTTATTACTGAATAGAAAGATCTTTTCCCAGCAACACAGGTTAAAAATAGTTCTGTGCAGTAGAAGAGTCACATTTTTGATGCTTTGTTGGTGTTTTCTTTCTTGCAGACTGGAAGGACTCCAACACATTTATTTGCCTATTATTGTGCTTTGGTTTTAAGTACAGCAGGTTTCTTTAAAACATACAATGTGACCTTTTCATGAATTAATTCCCTGTGGGGTGATGTATGACCAAGTATTTAAACTGCCAAATATGTGGCTGAACTAGGTTTGAACTATTATTGATCTATCAAATATATGAAGGTGAGGTCTTTGGGGTCTCTGCAAAGTTGTCTTTCATTAGTCACCTTAGTTAAATCTCCTTGGATATACTTGAGTGAATTGAAGTATGTCAGAGCCATAGACCCATGTATTTGCTCGTGGAACTTAATGGTCTTATTTTTTGGTTCCTTTTCAGAGAATGGGACAGAGAGCTGGCAACTTCAAAGAAGAAACCCAAACTCATTAATGCTCTTCGACGATGCTTTTTCTGGAAATTTATGTTCTATGGAATAATGTTATATTTAGGGGTAAGATTTGTTCTCTTCAGTAAACTTTGAGTGTTCCATAAATAGATCCAAGTTTTAGGGATTGATAAATTAACACAAACCTGTGAATAGCTACAGATTTTGCTCTGTGTATTTCTTACAAAGATGATAAATACATACGTACTCAGGGGCTTTCATTAAAACTGTGTTTTCTGGTAATATCTTCATATCTTGAAAACATACATATTGATAACTTTTAAATGCTTCTAGTGCTGGCATATGCTTCTCTAAGTACAGGTAGAGCACCTGAATTTTTGTGTCACTGCTGAACGAAAGTAATTATTTTCCTGTTATGGTTTTTAAGAAAATTCTAAAGAATTTCCTACCCTTACATTAAAACAAATGACAGTGCAATTTCACATGATTCGGTCAATTTTGTCAAAGTGACTATCAGACACATTCGTAGTTAGATGCTTTATTCAGGTTTATGTATGCCATGAACAAGTTGTCTTCGTCAGTGGTAACAATTCTGCATAAATAACCATGTGAAATATCTTGGTGCTGTTAGTGTTCTGAAGTGTGTGATCAGGAACTTGTTGTGAAAGTCTGAACTGATTATGTTTATCACCTTTCCAACATGTTAGGTAGGATTACCCTGACTTACCAAATGCCACCTGTTTGTTTGTCAATCTGACAATCCTATCACTGGGGTTAGGAGCTGTGAAAATAGTTTATTACTAGTGATGTCACTAGGTGTGTTGTATAGCAAGACTGTATGTCTGAAAATTGCTGTTAATCATTATGCACATTAAATATGCATATTATTTTCAAATTTCTGTGATGTAGTAGTAAAAAAAGAGAGCATATCACTTCTGGAAAGAGGGGCAGATAACCTGAAGTGACTAAAAGGATGTTGTGAGGTTATATAGGGAGAAAATTAGAAAGTCCAAAGCCAAACTGGAGCCTAATTTGCCCACTGTGGTTAAAGACAACAAAAAAAGTTTCTACAAATACATTGACAGCAAAGGGAGAGCTAAGTAGAGTCTCCATCCTTTGCTGGATGCAGAGGTTAGCATAGTGTTCAGGTTACCATACCCTTTAGGTACGAGATCCTAAATTGTCTTTGTCCAGGTAGGGAAATTAACCACCTAGGACAGAGCCTCTTGCTGTCTAAGGGGCTGCATTATAACCCTTCTCTCTATACTCTTCCACCCTTTTTGTCAGCTCTTCTCTGGGCTGAGGCCCCTTATTTGTGGATCCCTACTGAATCATGTCTTTCATGTGCTCCTGCCATCTTACTGCTGCCTGTTGTTTTCTAACTTTTTTCCTCACCAAGCCAGCAACTCTTCATTCATGACAGGTTTGTATTTTAAAAAAAATTACAACAAAACATTTCTACAGCTGTAGCCTCCTATACACTATGACTACTGTTCCTGCAGTGTCTGCCAGCCAAAACTTTCTCAGTAATGCATTCCTGTTATATGTTAAGCAGTGTCTGAGGGCTTTTGCAAGCAGTTTTGAGGATAACACTCTTTTCCAAACTGCAGGCAATGTGTGTGGTCATGCATGGCTGTGACTGTGCAGGGCTGATTTCTCTGTGGGGGCTTTTTAAATGGAGTACAATTCTAGACCAGGTGAGGACAGAACAAGACTGAGTTTGAGTCCTGTTCTTTGTTTGGTTGTGGATATGGTGGGTTTTTAAATTTTATTTCTTCAAGAAATCACAGATATGTACAATTATACACATAGGAATCTGCACCTTTTACAATGAGCATGGAAAGGTGAAATCTTAGTTTAAATTCTTGATTCTGTTAGCATTAGTCTTTGTTTTATTGAAAGGTGCTTCATTTTATTGAAAAAGAAATTGTAAGAGGAAAAAAACTTGCTCCTAAAGCTGTTGGTGTTCTTTTCAGGCCCTGCGCACGGAAATTAATGGGAGCTTTGCCATTAATTTGAACAGGGACAGGATGTTGTGCCGTATTGGCATAGGTGCAACCAAATTGTGTGTTCTTTTGAACTTCATTTTCCTTTCAGCTCTTGTCTAATCCCTGAGCTGTTTTCATGGCACCTTTCTTGGAGTGTAGTTTAAACTCTGCTGACATCCCTGCTGTTTGTGTAGTTGTCATTGCAAGTGGCATCAGAGCTTTGCTCTCGTTAGGTCTAGTGTTTTTTCTGTCTCTCCCTTTTCCCTGACACACTGTAGGTAATGATGTTATTGCAGGGTGGACACTTGTGCTCTGGCCTCCTAGAATACTACAACTCTCCTGTATAAATAGTGTTATGTTAGACACATTGAGTTACTGCACTTAATGTGTCTGCTCCCCTGCAGTTTGAAACGGCTTCCATGCTTCACCCCATCAGAAGATGGGTCTTGCAATTCAAAGAAAATGTGGTATGGTGGTGAAACAAATATCTTGCTTTTGTAGCTTGATAGCTGCTATCCAATTAGGTACTTTGCTGTAAGGATCAGTTTGATTCTACTTGCATTTGGCTTTTATATTAATTCCCATGGAATATACATTTCCACTTATTCACAGCAGCTACTAACATTAACTTAGAAATCGTTTTAGTGTCATATCCCTAAGGACCCTAATGAGGATTTCCTGAAGTTCTTACATATGGGTCACGGGTGTGAGTGAGGAGGCAGAGAGGGATATGAAAGTCCAGAAGCAATTCTTGGGCATATGCCAAAGCAGAGATGTACATTATTGTCTTCGAGTGCAGAGTGTTTGAGCATATGGGGGATACACGTAATATAAAAGTCCTTGTTACATAAGAGTAACCATACCAGGCCAGAGTAGCACGGTATCCTGTGTCATACTCTCTCTTCAGATCTTTGCTCTTTTAATTAAGATTTCTGTGAGGGCGACATTTCTGAGTTTCTCAGTGGCATACAATGAATACAGAGGAAAGAATAAGGACAGGGGAAGGCAAAACATGATTCTTGAAAACTGAATTTTCTGTAAGTGAGCAAATCCCATTCATTTTTTTAGGCAGGTTGTTCTAATCAATTTATTTATCCGTATTTAAATCAGTGGGTAATTTTGAATTTGCAAGAGGGAAAAATGAAAACCAGGTAGTTCTGCTTTGATTTGTATGTAGACTAGATAATATCTTAAGTAAGTGAGCTGATAAATCTCCATCGTAAACCACTGGATTTTTATGCCCCATGAGATAGCATATGACTTGGCTTATTGCCAGCCACTATTCTACTCTTAGCCTGTAAATCACCTTTTTTTTCCAGCAAGCTAGGAATGTATGCAATACCTTTATAGTCACAACAAACACAGCAGCACAAGGTGGCGTTTTCAGTGGAATAAAAGTAAATACAAAAAAAAACCCCAAACACAAACTTGCTATTTTAAGCCTATATAGAAAAGCTTATCTTGGAATCTCTGAGGATATGAAAGCATTGCATTGTCCTTGAGAGGTGAATGTTTTATGTTTTGTGAGTTTTGGGGAGTCTTGGTTTGATGCTTTCAGATGCATATGGTCTAAGCACAGCTGCCTTGGGTCATGTGTGTTTTAATAAACACTCCTCCCTTTGCCTACCAGTAACACTGAAGTCTTTGTTAAAGCTGGCTCCAGATTTACAGCAGTTGTGTTGGGGCAGAGTGGTGTTTAATTTGGGAAATGTAGCACAGGTATGCTGTTTGTGTCATAAAATTTCACCTCTTCTTAGGAAAAAGTGAATGATGAATGTCAACTCCACCAACAGTGACATTCAAAAGGGCTTACAGTACAGGTTATAGAAGTACTTGGGATTGCTTTTGTATAAGAGACCAAAAGGAGCCCAAAGGAAAAGGAAAAAAATTAAAGGGAATTTTCCCCAATGTGTTTAATCACTGTAGAACATTGCTGAACTTCACTAGTTCACTTCTCTCTGAGTCTCTGTATGGTGGTCTGTGGTTTTCAGCTGGAAGGCAGTACTAAAGACTTTTTGGCAGAATTTAACACATGTATATGAAAAAGAATTCAATAGTATCTTGTTACTGTGGAAGAATCAGATGCTTTCTGCCACAACAGAAAGAAGAATAAGAAGACAGGTATAAAAATTTCTGTCAGTATTTTTAACTGAACATAACGATGAAACGAAGGAGCACATACAGACTTCATATCCTTCAGAAGCTCATGCAGAAGATGAAGCAAAGTGTTAAACCACAGCACACAGATGATATTTGCAGTTCTTGAGGAGAGACTTGGGAAGAAAAGAGGGGGAAAGGGGCAGAAATGGAAAAGGTTATAGGAGTGAAAGTATGACAATGATGGAGCAGGAAGGGAACTGGAAGGCAAAGGTGAGGTAACACTCGTAGGGTTTAGTTACAATAGAAAAGGAGACTGAGAGCAAATATAATGGCAGCCTAAGGTACAGTCAGGGCTATAGCAAGTCATTTGGATACCTTGCAGTTTAGTGGTTTGATATTACCTCTTTTTCCTCTCCTGCTCTGGTTCTCTAGCACGCTGCTTATCGTGGGATGGAAAATGCTGGAGCTTCCAATGCAGGAGGGACTGGTTTCTCTCTGGGACTTCTATTAAACTTGCCTCCACTACTGTTTACACACTTTCATCCTGCTTTTGTTACTAACTTGGATACAATGTCTAGAACTGTTAAGTAGGATGATCCAATCATTTATACTTTTATTCTGGTTCTATTTCCATTTACTTTTTTTGTTTTAGCTATATCCTCACTTTGTTGTTCTGGCGGTGTTCATTACAGGAGGTCTGAATCTTCCTGTGTCCTATAAGTCCAGTAAAGTGCAGTGAAAACTGTTCCCTAGAGGCCAAAACAGAGAGCCAGCCTGATAAAGAGTGATATGATATGGCTAATCCATTGCCACTCTGTAAAGTAAATGTGGAAGCTAATCTCAGCTGTCACTTTTGTAGAAAATGATCAAACGAAATTTGCAAACTAAATTTGCTTTGGGGGAGTTGCAGGAGCATCACAGATTTAGACAGCAGTGAGTTGTCTCTTCTGTGCAATTACTGCAATTTTCTGTGGTTTGCACAGCAAACATGCCTGACTTCCTCATTTAAGATAAAAAGTTGTAAATCTCATTTGGTATGATATGAAATCAAACGATTAGCCATTTTTAAAAAATGAACAAACTGCTGACCAGAATTATTTTTCTCATTTCTGTCTGCAGGAAGTCACCAAATCTGTGCAACCCCTTCTGCTGGGAAGGATAATAGCTTCCTATGATCCGGACAACACCGATGAAAGATCCATAGCCTATTACCTGGGCATTGGCTTGTGCCTTCTCTTCTTCGTGAGAACACTACTTATACACCCTGCTATATTTGGTCTTCATCATATTGGAATGCAAATGAGGATAGCTATGTTTAGCTTGATTTATAAGAAGGTAAGTCAAAGAATTAAATACTTGACTATAGCTGGTTTGACTGAAGTCAGCCTCTGTGTGAGTTCAGACTTGCTGGATATGTGGTGGAATGCCTTAATTGTTCTGCCACTGTGCTCCTGTTATACATGTGTGTTGCAAAGGAAAAATAACATGCTGGTTGCCAAAGAATATTCTCAAAAGAGAATTAGAGGTGAAGATTTAAACAACAAATGTAACACTGAAGGGATTGAGTTTGAATGATACTGTGTGGGATCTCTATAACATGAAGAGTCAACAGATTTCTGCTGCATCCCATGTTCACAAATACATAGATTTTAAAAGGTACTCGGTTTTACCAATACCAAAAGCAGCTAATTTAAACTGACTTGTTAGTTATTCTAGTATAAAGCTCACTGTGAAAGCGTCTTTCAAAAATATTTTTCAAGAGGAGCACTGTAGGAGATTTTTGAGGATGCACAGCAACACACAGCATGCATGCTTCGTTAAAACTTGCATTTGTATTTATGTCTATATACATAAAATGTTCAACAGAAAACAAGGACTGAGTAAATCAATATTTGTAAATCAATTTAATGGCTGTATTAAATACAAGTTACAAGTTTAATGAGACTTTCTTTATAGTGTAAACAGATAAATGAATTGTTATTTATACTACTGTACCACTGCTTATCATTTTAATCTGTATTTATTCTGGTTTATGGGAACGAGTTACATGACCATTTTTCTGTGCTTTTGTTTTCTTTTACAGACCTTAAAACTGTCAAGCAGAGTTCTAGATAAAATAAGTACTGGACAATTGGTCAGTCTTCTTTCCAACAATCTGAACAAATTTGATGAGGTGTGTCATCTGTTGTTTAATTCACTTGGTGATCCATCAAACACAAATGCAATACTTCAAGCTGTTTGTGACAAATATAAGTAAAGAAGGAGCACAAATGTTGAACTACACTGAGTTTTCATTATAGATATAAAATAAATCCCTACTTTAAGAAAATGTGTTGGCATGTGGTCATAGAAATGCTCATTCTAATACTTATGACATTCTAATATCTGATTAGTAGAGGAAACCTACAAACCAAGTATATTATAAAATCAAGCTCGTTCTTCAGCCCAGTGAGAACCTGCTAGGAAACCTCTGGGTTATGCAGCTGGTTTTACAGAGGTCAGAACTTGCTGGTTCAGTCCTTCCATCCTATTTCCTGACCACTGTGCCTTTCTGCTAAGGTGATCCAGTCTGTTTCTGCCATGGAATAAGTGATGAGGTTCAGCATCCTGTGGCTACTATTGCCTGCTCTTCTAAAAGTGATTAAGTGTTGATCTAAGACTGCATTAGGAGTCATTCTCAACATGTCTGTCTTAGAAAATACTTACAGAGTCTCCTGTAAAACTTCTATTTTGTTTAAGACGTAGAGGTAAATCCCTGCTAATGCCTTTAGGAACTGGAAAATCTATGAACTTCTATTCATCATGTGTGTTTAATTGGCCCATTGGTAGTATAAGATTTGCTTCCCATGAAAGATGCAAGATCAAAAGAACTGTAGGCACATGGCTGGAGCTGTAGGGTGTATTTACTTCAAGCACTATATTACTATATATTATTATCTAGAGCAATGTCAGCTAGTGCTGAACAAGTTAAGACAAGTGATCTATCATTGCTGGAGTACCACAAACCTCTGTGCAGCCTGGGAACAGGATTCAGTCCAAAATTTCTAGAATGTGATGGAAAATAACTGAAGTAGTCAGCAATCTGTTTTGAATTAGTTGTGCTCACACAGCAGATATCTCTTCACCAAAGTGATATTTGCCTTCTGTATCAGATTAACACGCTCAGAAGATTCTTGTATGTATCTTTCTCATCTTGTGGTGTTTGAAAAACACAGCATTGATGCTAAATTCACTTTGCTTTTACAAAGCTGTAATTTTTCCTCATGCACGTTTGAGAGACAATTGCAGAATGAACTTTGCCTTAGAAAAATCAAAGTTTAGGTGTGGAATGTATATGTATTGCTGCACTGTCATCATGATTAACACCCAGAATGCTATGTGCTCAGGATCACAAATATTCCTTTATAAACTTGTTTTACTGCTGGAAATATTTGTACCATTCTTCATGACATTTTCTTAAAGTGTCAGTTTAATGACTTCCTTTCATTCATGTAGTTTTCAGAGCACATCTGTAACTTGTATTGCTATTATTTTCTGCTTTGGCCTTCCGTAGGGTCTTGCTCTGGCTCATTTTGTATGGATTGCACCATTACAAGTGACGCTGCTGATGGGACTGCTGTGGGATATGTTAGAAGCTTCTGCCTTTTCTGGACTTGCTTTTCTAATAGTCGTGGCCTTATTCCAAGCCTGGCTGGGACAAATGATGATGAAATACAGGTGACAAGATTATTTTCAAATATTTCAATTTATTTTCCTGAAACACACTGGTTTAAGAAGTTTATACCACTTGATTATGGGTCTCTGGTTATGACATTGTTACGTAAGAAGAATCCAAAGAGCGTTTGCTGTGTTCAGAGAGTCATGGATTATTTATTTAGCAGTAGGTGTCTAAACTTAACAAAATGAGAAGTCTAACACGCAGTAAATAGTGATAATGCTTTGTAGAATTAAAATTCCTTGTTTGTGACTTGATCTATTCTTTATAGAGTTTGTATTTTCTCCTTAGTAAAACAATTACTAGATTTCTAATAATTCCTTTTACATTCTTCACAATACTTCTGTTAAAGTAAACATTTTCAGTGAAGGCTTATAGGGGAGGTGTTTCCACAAGATATAATGGTACACAAACTAACTATACAGAATGAAAAAGATGAAGGTTACCCTACTGCCTTTTTTACTTTGTAGGAATAAGAGAGCAGGAAAGATCAATGAGAGACTTGTCATCACCTCAGAAATAATTGAAAATATACAGTCGGTTAAAGCCTATTGTTGGGAAGATGCAATGGAAAAAATGATTGAAAGCATCCGTGAGTAAGTGTTCTCATTTGTTAGTCAAATTTTTATATGCTCAGAAAAAATAAAACAAACTAGGTGGCTATGAACATCATCTGTGGTCTTGTTAGTTAGGAAGTAAAGCAACAGCTATTAATCCTCCTTAAACTAACCAAGCATTCTCACACTGCAGCTTGGGTTTTTTCCCCCAATTCATCCAGTTCCTACGGAGGTGAGATTTTTTTATTTGCTTCCTCATTTGTTGTAATGGTATTTCAGTGGTTAGTTTGCGCAGGTAAAACAATTGTGGGATCTGTATTTGTTTCTGGCTAAGCCTATCCTCATCTTACAATAAAGAGCCCTTTTGTGATGGTTACTCAAGACTTTACAGACATTCCTATTCTGTGGTGAGGGAAATGATATGAATCCTGTGCAGCCATTTTCTGCGAAATGTAATAAAGCTGGTTATAAAATTTGCATGCAATCTGTGAAAGGGTTAAAGTAGCATGGCTTCATGTATTCATCCTGCACATTCATATTAACATTTATTGTCTGTAGATAGCCTTGTACAGTGCTTATCTCCTCAATTAATATAAAGGCTGAACTGGAACTATCAGACCTGTAGCAGAAAGGAGGTAAAAGTGCTAACCTAGTTAGCTGAGAGCTGTGAGAAGGAAGTCTCTGTTACCTACAGGGTGTCCTGGGGAAAGGGAGGAGAAGTGACATATTGATTGATGGGTGACGCTGCATTAAAGCTCTCCTGTGTGTTTGTTTAGTCCTATATGGAGAATTAAAATTCTGTGCCAGGTGTGTGGTTGGGAAAATAAAAGAAATGTAAGTGTCATATTATCATGTAAATGAAAGACATAAAATGATATTGTTCTGCAAACATCTTTTTCAGCTGTTTTCTGAAGGACAATCCAGGGAAAGTGAAGTGTTCTTTATAATAAGGAAGGTCTTAAAATTTGTAATGATTTACCATAAACAATCAGACAGAACTCATTCTAAATCCAGGCTGTGAGTGCTAGCTCGAGGATGGAAGTAGTTTAGGATTTCCCTGGTGTCACAAGTCACATGCATTGCTTTTAGGTAATTTGAGACCACATCACATGAGCAAGTCCTGTATAAATTAATTAAATAAATTATAGTCCCCAAAATGATCACAGAAACCTGGAAAAAGCAATGTTAGTTTATAATCTGTATTTTCTATAATAATTTATAGTGAATTTTGTAATGCTGGAATTAATTTTTGTTGCATTATGCATGGATTTTTAAAAGACAAGAATGCTAGCAATATTACAAGGAGTTCCTCTCCTGTGAAGAAAGGTGGAGAGAACTGGGATTATTCAGCCTGGAGAATAGAAGGCTCCTTGGAGACCTTATTGCAGCCTTTCAGTACCTGAAGGGGACCTACAAGAAATCCAGGGAGGGACATTTTACGAGGGTATTTAGTGATAGGAGAAGGAGTAATGGCTTTAAACTGAAGGAGGATAGATTTAGATTAGATATTAGGAAGAAATGTTTTACTGTAAAGGTGGTGAGACACTGACACAGATTGCCCAGAGAACCTGGAAGTGTTCCAGGTCAGGTTGTATGGGGCTTTAAAACAACCTGGTGTAGTGGAAGGTGTCCCTGCCCATGGCAGGGGAGTTGGAACTAGATGCCAAAATTTGGTTCTAGTTACTTTTTAGCCCCCAAAATAGTTTGAAATCTTAACTTATTAGCTTCAATGCTAGAAAATAAGGATGAACAAGCCTCTAAGTTGTTATATCAACAGTTCCATCCAAAATATTTGGAAGATGTAAACTGTGAAATCCTATGCTAATTATTTGTGTTTGGTTTTTTTCAACAGAGCTGAACTGAAGCTTACCCGAAAAGCTGCTTATGTGAGATATTTCAACAGCTCAGCCTTCTTCTTTTCAGGCTTTTTTGTGGTGTTTTTAGCTGTGCTTCCATATGCTCTGATTAAAGGAATTATTCTCCGAAAAATATTTACCACCATTTCCTTCTGCATTGTTCTTCGAATGACAGTGACTAGGCAGTTTCCCAGCTCTGTGCAGACCTGGTATGACTCTATTGGAGCAATAAACAAAATACAGGTAGGGAACATGGACTAAAATCTTCCCAAGTACGTAAGTTAATTCTTTGCCATGTTATCTTGTCAGTTGATCAACAAAAGCACACAGCATTTATGCAGTCTTTCTGATTATACTGTGTGTTGCTTTGACTAAACACCATGAAATGTCATAAATCTTGATGATGTTAGGTGGTTCCCCAGGCAGCATAACCACAGGAGTCTCATGCTACCTGCTTGCTGCTTCTTTTTGAAACAGTGACATTTAGTTAGTTATTCTAATTGCAGAAAAAGGAACTTAATAAAAATATGTCATGAGTTGTGGTGCTTAAGAGATGTTTTTCCTTCAGAAAAGGAAGTTAAAAATTAGTACATGTTTTCTATAGCACAGCTCATAGGAGCTGCAGTCACAGATCTGTTTTTCTAGCTGTTAGTGGCAAAAACAGCAGGAGATTGTGTATCTTATGCAAATGTGCATCTCATTCATCATGAGTAGTAAACATAATTAAGGTACCAGACAAATAATTATTACCCACCTTACCTACTGAGATCAATTGCTCATATACCAGCATGAGAGGCTTATCTGGAGAGCCAAAGCAGGGTGAATTCTCATTAACTCTGTTTTATCTGCTGTTTTGAAATCACTCTTCAGGAAAAGAATTCTTACTTTTATTTTGGGGGTGAAATCTTAGGCTTTTAAAAAGTATGTATTTATAGATTTATTTTTTTTAAACATAGATTTTATTTTTTTTAGTGTCATATAAATACCTAATACAGAACATAAAAGTCTTAATCAGATACCTGAACCTTAGTGTAGAAGAAGTGGGTATGGGATTTTTATGATTTTCAGCTGGGTGGAAAATTGAAGAAATCTAGCCATAAGCCTTTCCATTTGAAGTTCAGAAGGCTGCCTTGTTGGGTCCCAATTTAGGCAATCTGTGTGCTCTTAGAACCCCTAGGCATTAGAGGAGGTATCTTGTCTCTCCTGTTTCCTAGAAGAGTGCATTCAATGCCCTGTCACAGAACTGGCAAGGCCAGTTGTCATACCATTGGCCTCACTTCCCCAAAAGCTTTGGGGATATTGGCAAATGGGTGCTCCAGAATCCATGAATAGTTCTCTCTTTGTGGCAAGTTCCGTATAGAACCCATAGACAGACTAGGCAGAATCCCAGAACACCAAAGCCCTTTACTAGTCATCAGAAGTAGAGAAATAATAAACCACTCATACATTTCTCTGATTTAATTTCCTCGTCAGTTTAGAGAGATCATTGGGACGGAGTTACCCTGGGTTATTGTGTTTTCTCTGAGCCATGTTTTCTAGACCATGAAGTATTTCAGGATCAGTGTGCTTTCTTTGACTATCACTACTCCAGCAACTCCACTGGATGACCCCACCACCTTTGTTATGAAAGCCTAGATATAATTTTCTATTTTTCTTGCAAAAACCATGTGTGTTTTGCCTTTCAGTTTTTCAGTTCCTGCACTTTCAATCATCTGTTTATTCCCTTCTGCCTGTTTACTTGGAAAATTTGCAAGTTTACTGTCAAGAACTGATTTTCCCACAATTCTGCTTAGTTTGTCCATTGTATTGCCCATGTAGAACTATTTGTGTTAACAAAATTAAAAAAAGACAATTTAAAGGAGATGGTACTGCATAACCTTAACAAAATAATGGAACAGAGCGGTTGTCTTTCCTACATAGCACAGGCTTACACTTTTTTCCTAATGCTATCCCAGAAGGTAACACAAGCATTGAGTTGCTGACTTGTGTCATTTGAAATTACACTACTTCAGTGCTGCACTTGCCAGGATCATTATCTGCCTTTTATTTTTGTTGATCTAGAGATCATTCCAACTCTTAAACTCTTGCAGTTTTGGAATAGGGAGATAGCAGCATGTAGCTGCTTTGTTTCACTGTTTACCAGGGTGCAGCCTTCCACATCTTACGCCAAAGCCAAGGCTTTATTTGAAAAGGATTAAGGTCAGAGAGGTGATACTGCCTCATACAAGTCCTGAAAGCAAAGGAAATGCCAAGTTTTGGTACTCTTTCTAAATCAGAACTAAATACCTTTATGACTATGTTTTCACTAGCAATGAAAGAATTGGTAGTTTCAAAATCATTTTCTTCTGCATCCAAAAGATGCTGTCGAAGTTATAGATATAGCCTCTCTCTAAAACACTACAATGCAATAGAACCATCAGAATTATTAGTTAATGCTCAGTGTAGACAAGTATGTACTGCTTTATGTAATACAACCTTGTCCTTCACCATTTCCTCTCATCTGCTTTCATGATGTTTCTAGGATTTCTTGCTGAAAAAAGAATATAAAGCTCTGGAGTATAATCTAACAACCACTGGGGTTGAGCTGGAGAAAGTAACAGCATTTTGGGATGAGGTTAGTACTTTTACCCAAACCATATTAAAACACTGTGTTTCTTTTTTTACTACACTTCATTTTAACTAGCTTCAGCTCTCAGCAGGCAAGGAATACATTGCAAGTAATTAATGTATATCAAATTATCCACAGCTGAGAACTTTGGAAGAGACCTTTTAATAAGTGTTAAAGGCTGTAATAAGTAGTTTTTACTGATTTAAGCCAGCCTGAACACAGAATCGGGCTGTGGTATGTATGAACTTTGGAAAGCAGTTCTATAATAAGTAAATTTTCTTTGTGTCCACAAATTTAGGTGCAGGTACAATACATGCATTTAAAACAATTTTAAGAATATAATAAATATTTTATTGACAGGCAAAATAACATGAGGAAAGTTAGTTCATATGTTTTCATAAATCTATGTATGGTATACACAACGGCATAGGCATGTTTTATTTATTTTTTATGTGCATCAAATACACATCTGTTTATGTTGTAGGGAATTGGAGAGCTGTTTGTAAAAGCAAACCAGGAAAACAACAACAGCAAAGCTCCCAGCACTGACAACAATCTCTTCTTCAGTAATTTTCCACTTCATGCCTCTCCTGTTCTTCAGGATATAAATTTCAAGATTGAGAAGGGACAGTTGTTAGCTGTCTCTGGATCTACTGGAGCAGGCAAGGTATTTCTATTTCTGCTGTTTCAATAAAAGTCCTAATAATATTGTGCTGTTATATGTGTTGTTAGCTGTATTATTACAGTATTCTTACTGTCCTGTGCTCACTCTAGAAATGTGTGCTGCAGGAAAAATGATGGATAAACTGCATGTTTCAGTAAAATGGCCAGTAGTTATCCAAAGCCATACTCTGTGGCCAATATGAGAGAATTTGCTGGATACTTTTGTAATACAGGGATAAAGAATTATAAGAAAATAGCAATTTAAATGGCAAAACTGTTTTTTCATTGGAAGTAAAAGAAATTCTATAGGAGTAATGAGGACTCAAACCTAAAGTTAAGGCTCATGGTAAGAATATTCCAGCCTTTAAAACAAACTGGAGAGCATCACATAGATAGTCAGATTTCTCATGGTGCTCAAAAGCAATTAGTTTTCCCTCCTTGCTGACAATTTAAGGAAAATTTTGAACACAAGATAGTCAGTAACCTGATAAACGCGGCACAGATTAGCCAGGTATGTGCACCATGGACATGTGGTATACCTGATCACTTACTTCCTACAGTGCCCCACTCAGATTGGCTTCCTGAGACCCATATGAAAGCCTGGGGAGGTGCTGCTGAAACTGGTGGTTTTCTGAGAAAAGTTGTTGTTTAGATTAATCATCATTTTACTACCCCAAAATGTTACTGATGCATTTAGTCTGCAGATAACAAATCCAGTTACCCTCATTAATATAAAATGAGTTGAACTGTGATACTCTTAGTCACTTTGAACACCAAGTAATTAGATGAGTCTTTCATCTTCAGTGGGTGTTTTGAGGAGAAGGGAAAGTGAAAACAAATATTCATTATGGGTTTGGTAACTTCTCCTGCTTTTAACAAATTATAGGTGAAAATATTCTGATTTCTTTTACTTGCATGAGGTAAGATCTTTGGTCTGTTGAGTCAATGGCAAAGGACCCATCAGCAAGGCTTATATATTGGTTTTCAGAAATGATACCCATAGGAAAGAGCGAGGGACTTAGAAGATGAGATTGTCCTCAAGCTGATGTGTTAAGTTGCATTTTGCTGTGATACTTCTGAATTAGCAGAATAATTTTCCTATGGCTATTGCTAAAGCTGATAATTGTAATACAGAAATGTCAACTAGAAAGTGCTGAGGGACATATGTGTATCTTCTTTATTCAGCTACATAGGAAATTGAGGAAAATTCTGATTATACCAAGCAGTTTATGTGAGTATGTACATACAGCAAATTTGCATTTTACAAGGCTTATAATTTTATCTGAAAACTTTACAACAAATAATGTTCACTCCCCTCCAAAATAAAAGATTCTGCTTCCCTTATACCTTTTTAATTTAATATTTCCTTCATGCTGGTTGCAGCTGTTACTGTATATTCTATGAATTGTCAGGCCTGTGAAACAGACTGCACAACTATTTTACCTATGACAGGTATGAAGCCTGACATCAGCTTTTTAATACTGCATCAGTATTAGATAGGGTTTGGCTTGGTTTTGTTTGTTGGGTTTTGGCTTTTTTTGATTTGTGTTAAATGGCACAAGGTACAGTAGTTTAACATCCAGTGTACAGAGCATAGCTAGCAGATATCCTTTGCAAGGCTGGAAACCTCTTACTCAGCATTTTGGAAAAGTCTGATATTGGTATAATGGAAAGAATCTCATGACACTCCCCTTATATATTGTATAACTTGTCAAAGAGTCTCTGGGCTTGACAGCATGAAACTGTGACTTAGATTTTTTAGGTCTTTGGCTGTTACGTCCCCGCTTTGTTGACTGTTTATTGGTGATAAGAACACCACTGCAATGGTTCTGTAACATATTTTTCCGTGTATTTCTCAATTCCATTCTTTGATCTAGTAGCTAGTGGTGTGTGACAAGGTTACTACAAGCTACTGATTAACTTTGAAATTATAACATGTCAGTACTGAAATTGCAATCAATTCTTTTATGAAGGGAAATAGTAAATATACTTAGGTCATGCATTCACGTAAATGAGTTAACAGTTACAGGGGAAAATTCAGATCACGCTGAGCAATTGTATACACTTACACAAAGAAATTACATTTTCAAGGCAATACAGATAAAATACTTATGAACACTAGCAAAATGTAAACATGAATTATGTTGTACAAAGAACAAACATAATAGTCACTGATATTGCTAAAAATCAAATAAAATTCTCTATGAATACTAATACCTTACAACTGTTTGTCTCACAGATTCAGCAATTTCACAAGGTAAAAATGTAGGTTTAATTAAAAATACATACTTTTGAAGCAGCATATGTTTTTTACAAGATATCTTACACAATTTTTATCACTCATTGAATTAAGTTTCTCTCACATTAATGAGGCCTTTCAGAACTACACATGTCATGAAAATCTCCACTGATTGCAACTTGCACTTGTACTTACAGGGAGACTCTTGACAAGGCAGATTTACCATGTAAGTGACTTAGCAGAGTGTCTCTGACTTTGTTCAACATTTCTTATTGTTGTACAGATCTCTGATATATTAATCAAGTGTTAATGGTTTTTCAGACTTCTCTTCTGATGTTGATAATGGGAGAATTGGAGCCTTCACAGGGTAAAATTAAACACAGCGGAAGGATATCCTTTTCACCTCAAGTCTCCTGGATCATGCCTGGAACAATAAAAGAAAACATAATTTTTGGTATATCCTATGATGAATACCGGTACAAGAGCGTCATCAGAGCCTGCCAACTTGAAGAGGTTAGTCATCTAGGATTTTTAAGACCTGTGACACAACCCAAGTGAAAAACCCCAAAGAAAAAGTCAGGGAGTGGTGCTCTAAGTGAGACATTTCTGAGTTTTAAGGAACTCAACCTGGCATTGCAATTTTGTGGAATTGCAAGTCAGCCTGTTGCTGGCTCCATGAGAGATACACTGGTATTGACAGTTCTGGTAGTTTACACAACAGGAGCTAGGTAAGCAGATATTATGAAGTGTCTGCCTTCTCAGCCTTTCTTGCTAGTTAAAAACCTGAGTAAACATATTGATATTAAAGAAATTACATTAAAAGTGTTGTTCCTGCAATTTTTTGGTCACATTTCTTCCCCATTCCTTACAATCTTGGAAATTAACTTTTAGACTTAAAAAAATGGCTTCAGGGACAATAAGAACTCTGTGCTAGAAACTTGAATTATTTAGAGGAGAGTCTTGACTAAAGTTGTTTTTTTTCTGTGTGCACATTGAAAATTCTCACATTACAAATTATTGTAGTATCAATCCTTATGTGACATGTGGCCCACAATAAGTACAATTACATGAGAATATCCTTATGTATTTGATGTTGATGGAGGGTAGTGTAGGAAAAGATACTTTTTTGCATGGCAAGATACAAAAGGAGCCAGCATTTTTTACCTTTGTACACTGATTGCTGAGCCTTAAGATTAGGCATTTTGCCTGTAACGTGCAGATGAAAACAATAAATATTTAACTGTGCTGAATAGGATTTTTGTTTAGGCCACACGGTGAAACATATTTTCCTCTAGCACCAGTCAAGCAAGAAAACAATAGTCAGTCTGTTTAAAAACAAGATGAGGTTACTTCATTTTATCTCAGAGCAGGGTATAGTTAAGCAATAAAGTAATATTTGCTCATATGTTTCTGGCCATTTCAGCTTGGGATAAAATTTTAGATTTGGTTTGCTGGAAATCTTCTTTGAAAGCTTCTAAAGGTAAGAGAATTAGCAACTTCTGTGTCAGGCTTTCTGAAGAAAATAGTCCTTAACCCTGGTTCTAAAAGTTGTATTTAATGCGAAGCTCCAAGAGGCAACTGACTTCAGCAGTTTAGAACTGCCCTCGCTCAGAGAGGCTTCCCAGCCCAGGCCCTTCCTAGAGCAGCAGGTGGTTAATGGTGTCTCTGCTGGGGGGATGGCTTGGTGTTTCAGTGTTCATGGGACATCTCGGTGTCTCAGCAGGCTGTGGATCCTTTGTTCTCCAAACAGGCTCAGTCAAGCCAGCTTTGATCTGTGTTGGTGCAACTCTGTGTGGAATGATATGCTTCGCCTCCTAGCAGGGCTCATTATTTGAAATCAAGTTTGATACTTAGAAGGATATTTTCTTCTGGACTGAATAAATTGGGCTAGCCTGAAGAGAAGGCAGAATGGTCTGGAAGGAAGCCAAATGCATTACCTCATTGCTCTTATTATGCTTTCTAGTCTCATTAGTTTTCATGTATGTGTTGCCAAACAAGACTTAGTATGGCAGATTGAAGGATGGATTGCAAATATTAATTCCCTGATTATTCCCCAGTGTGATCTTTGAGGGGTTTATTATAACAAGGATTAGTGCTGTGCTTTGGAGTTGTGTGTGTGTTCTCATTCTTCAGAAAGGAGAAATCAGAGGGTTTTTCCTAAGGGAGTTCACTTTGCCCCCTTCTCTGCAACTTTCCTAGGTAGTTATATAATCCACCTGACTGCAGGCCTGTTGCGGAGTCCAGTTCTTTTGTGGACTCTTCAAGGAACCAAGGATTGGTGACTCAAGACTTTATTTCCTTATTGCACATAGGCTCAAAGTCAGTAAACATAAATCTCTTAACAGTGCCTAAGTGAGATTTGCTTCCAAGGTCCATACTCAAAAACAGTTCTGGAATACAAAGCCATCTTCTTTGACCCAGTAGGCAAATAGATGTGTTACTAAAGCAAAAAGTAACATGTGCATGAAATGTTCCTTTTGCTTTGCCATCTCCACTATCACCCTATAGTGGAAGCATACTGAAGATCTAGTCCACTTCCCAAATTTGATGTAATTTCCCCTTTGTCTTCTTAAAATATTGCATGTTTGTCTATGTGGGTCACATCATAGAATCTACATAGGTTTGGTGCTTCTAGACACAGTGAGTAGCTTGTTCTTGTCTGCAGCAGAACAGACCACTGAAGCTAGGTGACTTCTTACAAGGTGCTCTGCACTTTGCTTTAGGTCTACGGAGATATGCAAATGATATTAAGCAAGTGTAACTTAAATAATTTGGGGTGCATGAGAATTTTCAGAAGAGTCAATGCTACCTTCTTCTGCCTGACTTTTTGGATTGGTACATAGTTAATTTACTAAGAATTTATCACTTACAGCCTCTTTAGAGTTGCTAAGTACTCAAGGTAAATTTATCTCAAAGTAATTATTAAAGATAGAAAGTGCAAGTAAATACTTCCCAGAGCTTTCCATATTTTTAGGTGTCCAAGAATAGAATTTTTCCTATATAGGAAATTAGATCCTTATTCAGAGGTTATGTATTAGACTTTTTATTCTTTAAAGTCCTAAAGAATAGCAAATCTGGTTATGTTAGCCATTACCTGAAGAACAGGTAGGTTTTTCTAGAATGGAAGAATTTTTGATGTTGTTCTATTTGTGTATGAAACCATCAATAGGAAGGTTAAAAAGATGGTTTAGTCTCTAATTAATTTTGAATTTTCAGAAATAACATTACTGGAAAGCAATGAAAATATGAGTAACTAAAGGATTTTCTTTTATGAGCTCACATAAGTTTCTAGCAATTTGGAGCTCTAAAATTGGTCATCAATTAGTTCAGGGAGTTCAGGTAGCTACATTTGTACTTCCTTGACTTGTATACTCAGCTTAAGAGATTTCTGCCTTCAGCTTCTTACTGTTGTTGCTGCAATTCACCAGCCCTCCAGTTGTGTCATTATACCTGTTTATGATGCTGTACTGTGAAACAGAAGATGAAGATTAAAAAGAAAATTATGATATATTGGAGATCAGCATACCTTATAAATACTTAAAAATACTATGCCAAGATAGTTTGACAAAGTGTGCTTGTGTAGGGCACAATGCATTAGGATGTCAGCCTGTGCCTGGCTTTACAGACTCAATTAGTGTGTACACATTTCTCAATTATCCTTTTCTGTTATGCGTATCGTAACTGTTGTCTCACCTGACGCCCCTCACATGAGTGCGTGACTGATGAACAGTCAGATGCTGTGAATAATGTCATACAGTAGAATCTATTTTCATGTGGGAAGCACATGCTTTAAAGGTGCTCCTTTGAATGTAGTCCTACTTGATGACACATGTGACAGCAGTGTAGTGTTGGAGGTTTCATTCATGGTCCTTGGTCCTCATAGCTCTGCTCTGCAGCCTTGTCTGGCACATGCGGATACCAAGGGCAAGGGACACCACGGTGCAGACCTGTACAAGTGTATGAGATCTGAGTTGTTGAAAGAATCCATAATGAAAGACAGTTGTGTGTTGAAGGCTTGATGAGGGAAGTTTGTCGGTTCTAAGTACCACTGCTTGTCATAATTTCAGGATGTCACTGTATAAATACATAATACTGACGAAGCATGAGAAGGTTTCTCAACTGCTTCTCTATGTGCATGAGTAAAAGCATGCCTAAGGTACTTCTTAAACTTCTGTTTGTACATTTTTATGGTTATGTAGCCTGTTTTATATGTGTAAAATTATTCAGAACTTGATTATAATTACATTTCTTGATTCTATTTTTCCTTTGCGAATAAAGAGGGCATTGCACGAGTTGAAATTGTTAATGGAGTTTGTAAATGGGCAGAGGTTAAGAGAAGAGCAGTAAAAGGTGAAAGAACAAAAGAAAGACTGCTTTGGAGTTGGGACTGTAATTAAGAGCTACCTTAGTGTTCTTGGCATCCAGTAGAAACAGCCTTACTGGCAAAAAGTCTTTCTGAAAGCCCAGCACAAACTGAATATGGCTGCAGTGAGATAGAAGTGCTCTGTAGACATTGCCCATATTCTTGTCTGATTCTGAACTCAAGGGAATACCAATACATTTAAGTTACATGGTGCATTCTATGAAACATCACAGTAAAAAAGTTTTCAAGAAGTCATAGGAGAAGGGCTGCTTGTTCCTTCTTCACTGCCTTCTTCCTGTTTTTTCTTTTCCATGAGAAAAGCAAATATTTTAGCAAGGAAAAAAGCAAGATGAGTACCGACTTTAATAAGACACTTAAAATTAAGATCCCAGTAAGCAAATATGAAAGTGAAGGCTTTCAGCTTCTACATCAAACCATTCCAGCACAGATCAATAGTCCTTACCATTTGTCCTTTATTCAGAAGCTTTTTTGAAATAAATTGTTTGAATGAGTTTACTCTTGAGTTTGCAGGTATTATTGCAAATCTATTGCCTTTAAAGTCTTACATTGGCTTGCTATGATAGAGAGAAGATGAGATGTAATTGGTATGGATTCTGAGCACTTTTCCTGAAGACAGGCCCCATAGGCAAGTTTACAGGTACTCAAAAAGTAAAATAAGATGAATTGGTGCTGCCTCAGCAGCACTTTTGGCAAGGTAGTTTACCCATTTTATAAAGTACTTTTATCACATTCATGATAAAAATTGATTGGCAAGAGAACGTGAAATTTTGCCTAGTACTTGAAGTTAAGGACCAAGTATATAGCAAAAGCCACTGAGAGATGTGAACTTTTTGAGTTTCTGTGTGTATGGAAATTTGCCACTAAATTTGAATTAATTCTATAAATGTAACCTCCCTAGGGATTGTATTAATTGGAGTTTGTATTAGTGTAATGGCAGGGATAACATGAATATAAATGGAAATTGGTAGGAGTAGGTACTTGGGTTTGCAAAATCCTTATTACTGGTGTAATTAAAAATGGGGAAGGAATGTGGCTTGATGTTGAGATATTTAGGTTGAAAAATCAGTATGTGTGTGTGTAAATATATATATATATAGTATCCTATTATATGCAGAGTATGGGATTTTTG